ACTGTAAGCAAACATCAATAAGTCAAGTCATTTTCCAGGGAGCATGAAATTTAAGTACTTCATCTAAGTTTTGGAAATCTGAAAAATTAGAATACAGGGTTACAACCACACATGACAAATTACACACAGAAAATACGCCTTTTCACATGTCAAATTCTGATTAGGGGGCGGATTTTAATGAAATGTCATTTTTTTCTTTTCACTTAAAAACAATGCTGTTTAGTATAGAAATTCATTTTACGTTATGATGAAACAAAGTGACCCATTTTCGTGCATGATTTCTTTGTTGATTTCGACTTATAAGTCATTTTTAACCTTTTTATGTCATTTTCACTGCTTTCATCGATTTTTTTTATCATTTTAATGGTATTTGCTTCAAACAATATTTATGAGGTACAACAACTGTTCACCACAGAATTCCTGAGTTACCTATTTGATTTCTTCGCTCATATATTGTAATGTTAGCTCTTATGAGTACTGCATAATTAAGGTTGTGTGTGATGCCTATTGGCACCACTGCCAATTAGGGCGACTTTGCAATAAATTATGGCAAACATTTTCTTTTAAAAAACAGTCCAAACCAAAAGTTTGCAAGCTGAGTTCACTTGAACAAAAGGAAGATGCCTTGATTACATCAATAATATATCGAACAGCTAGAGTTGCTCGTCTGAAGTGTTTTTGATAAATTTTTTTACATAATTTTTCTTTGTTTTTAGGGTATTTTTAACGCTTGTTAAGAGCATTTTATTGATCATTTTTGCCAATGTTGAAGCCATCAAAATCCAACCCATAGTGATAAGTTCAATTTTGATCTAAGAATATTTCTAGAAACCTTTGACAATTAGATTTACTGATACATTTTACATACAATCAGTCTACTTCCACTTTAATGTTTTGGTGTAACGTGATGAAACTCAAAATTAATAAACAGTTTTATCAACATTTAATTTCAATCCATTTATTGACAAATAACTTTTCAATGAGTTTAGAGATTCAGTCTCATTAGTTTCTAGATAAAGATTTGGCCCATTGCTTCATTAATGATCTATCATCTGCATACGAAATTGCAGAGAAATTAGGGAAGCTTGGAATATCATTAACATATAATAGAAATAGAAAAAGTCCAAGCACAGATTCTTGCAGAACATCTGTGGTAATTGTACAAAAATTTGATTTAACTTTGAATAAAAAATTTCCAGATCTCTCTACATTGCACATATCCTGTGAGGTATGATCTAATGAGATCATTAACTCCACCCCTTCTTTCATACTAAACTACTTTTGTCATCACTATTTCTCGTGATACACTATTAAAATTCTTTGGAAGATTAATGAATAAACCTACTGTTTTCCTATTCGATTTCAAATTTCCAATGATTTCATGTCTTATATGATGATACCATATAACATCCTGACGAAAATTATACAGAACTCTGACAGAATTGAGTTACAAGCATGTGAAACAAGGCCAAATAATTGCTACATTTAACCAACTAATGTACTATTTCATGCCCTTTTGGCATTATTGTTAATTTGCTTTTTAATAATGGAACTTGCAACATTCAAATGATGATTTAATGTTCTCAAGAACAATTTCCATTTCTCATTGATATTATTAACATTGAGTACTTCAGACCACTTCTCTTTTAGGAAGCACTCACTTAACAATTTTAGTTTAGTATCACTTGTGTCATGTGTTTTAAGGTAGTTCAAGGCTAATGGAGCAATTGATTATTTCAATGATTTGTGCAGTGTAATCAAGTAGATGAAAATCAATATTAAAAGAAGAGTATTCATTCATTTTAATGTTTGTAATGTGGTCTATAGTAGAGCTGGAATTTGTAAAATGTAAGCACTTAAGATTAAGAAGATGTGCACACAATTGTTATCTGGATAGATCCACGAATTGAGATGCTTAAGATAACTGCAGATCCCAACTAAGCTAGTTTTTTTTTGTTAGAATTATGACTGTAAACTCCTGCCATATACCTCTCATATGCTGAAATATCGGATGGATTGTGATATAGCAAGATGCTCTGCACCTTGAAGTATAAAAATCGTAATTCAAGAGTTAAAAACAATAAATAAATAAATTTAAAAAATAAAAACAAGTTTTTCACCAGATTTAAATCAATTTACCCTGAGAACTTCATACTAATGAAAAAAAAATTTTTTTTTGCTTATGTAAGTTAAAATTTTTTTTAAAACCACATTACGCATATTAATATTTACTTAAATTGTTCTTATAATTTTCTATAAATGATTAAGATTCAAGATTTTTTTCAGGTGTTTATATTCAATTTTGACCCTTATAAGCAACAAAAAAGAAGGGAAAATAGAAAGAACCCCCCCCCCCGTTTTTTAAGAATATCTCATGTTCTGATGCAGATCAGAAAAAGGACAAAATACTAATTGTAGCCCTGTAAATTTTCTAGTTTCCCCAAAATTGCAACCTTTTATCTTATAATTTGCATCCGACAGTTCAATGTAATTTAATATTTTCTTATTTATTTTCTTAAAATTAGGTTTTGTTTTAGTAATTTTCATAGTTTTTCTGTTTTATGTTGATTACAAAATATAAATAATGAAAGACAAAACTGTAAGAATAATATTACACCCTATTGTAATTTGAACATTGAATGAATAAAGATTTTAACTAAAAATAACATTGTTTATAGACAATAGAGAGCAGTTCCATATAATGTTAAATATCATTTGTAATGTTAAAATAAACGATAAGTAGTCACTACATGCTGCTCTCATCCAGGTTTTTGATTGAGGCAGCAGGATTTGGAAACAAGCCATTTGGTTTTATATTGCAATGTGCAGATTTACCATCTACCTGCAAGGAGCAATATTTGATACTCCTTTCATCTGGTTTATAGCTACCACATGCAAAAGTCTGCCATCCATACATATGCCAGAATATCACATACATCACATTAATTTTAGACATATTGAATGACTTTGATTGTTTATCATCTACTTCCATATAGCAATATTCAGAAAGCTGTAAGAAGTAGAAATGGCTGTCAGAACCGTCAGAATATATTGATAATTGAACCATCATCTCAATCAAGTTACGATGATCCATCTTAAACAGTGCAGACTAAAGAGATGTGGAAGTAGAATTAATCCAAATGCCTATTCACAGAATTATTGCTAAATAATAATATTGTTTCTTGTGCTTTTCAAACACAACTAATTAATGCTCCTTACAAAATTCTTATTTGTTTCTGTAGTAACATGCACTTTATAGTCCTAGAAAATCACAGTTGCAGATCACACTTAATTTGATTTTTTTTTGACATTTGCATAATTGCAGAGCATTTTCCTTCGCGTGCCAAGTAGAAACCCAAGAGTTAGCACTTTAAATGATCTGTCAAATCAAAGAAACTAAAGTATTTTGGAATGATGGATAAAGTATAAAAACTCATTATTTTTAGTTAAAACTTTATTTCATTCAGTATTCAAATTACAAAGTGTTATAATACAGTAAAATTTGTCTAAACCGGAACCTCTACAAGCTGAAAACTTGCGTTAACCAGAAAATTTCTCAGGCCCATTAAGTTATATGGTATTTTACACACCACTCACAACGGAACCTGTTCTACACAGAAATATAATGTTTTTTCATATCCTGGGGGGATTCTTTATTCTAATTCACTCCCGTGTGCAATTTAGACGAAGCAACCCCACTGTGAAGGAGGGGTGCTTCAGCTGACAACATAGCATTTTACCAGGGTCACTTGTCTCTTAAGGCATAGGCAACAAGGGAATTCTCCCCCTCCCCCCTGTCCTACCAACTCTTAAGCATGGGAAAGTGTACAGGCATGGCTTCTATTAGCAGCTCTCCCTGTCCCACTTTCAAAACCATAACCCCTCAAGCACAGACGAATTGCTCAAAGCCATGTGAAGGTATGAGAAACTCATAGTACTCATGGCTGTGATGCTTTGTGCGTTAAAAGTGTCAGGAAGCAGTGAGGTGGTGTGTATTTTTACGAGTTTCACAACCAGTTTAACAATGCAATAGACATAACCCTAAAATTAGATGAAATAAACAAACTTAAGGAAGGAAAAGAAACTTAGAAGCTGCAAATGAAGAATGTTTTATTTTCATTTATTGACAATTTCTTCCATAAATACATTCTTTGTAAATCTATATTAATACTTTATAAAATAATGTAACTTTTACTCTACTTTAATTACTTTGCCAGTTTCAGAATGGAAATGTCGATATCACAAGTACAATGGACAACCCTGCATTTAACAGAATTTTTTTTTGCCTTTCGATTCTAGCTTAGGCAGATTTTACTGTATTATTCTCACAATTTTGTTTTTAATTATTTATATTTCCTAATGAAGATAAAACAGAAAAAATACAAAAATCCATAAAAAAGCAACTTAATTTTAAGAAAATAAATAAGATATTTTTAAATTACTAATTTATATATCTTGGGCTGTTGGATACAAATTATATGATAAAAGGTTGAAATGTTGGAAAAATGTTAGAGAATTTACAGGGTTAGAATTTGTAGTTTGTCCTTTTTATGAGGTGTCAGAATAACAGATATTGTTAAAAAACGAAGGAGAAATGTAATTTTTTCTATTCTCTTCTTTGAGAGAAATAGACCTTTGTCCCCTTTTAAACACTAACAAATAAAGGTGGCTTTTGCCCTTTTGCGTCTCTTGTCATGACACTACATCATTTTGCCATCGAAGAACAGATTTAATGCCAATAATCATAGGTGTAATGTGGTTAAAAAAATTGAACTTGTACAAGCTAAATAACAAGTTTTTCCGTTTGTTCGAAGTACTCAGAGTAAATTGATTTAAATCCGGCGATTTTTTTAAATTTTATTTTTTTCCCCCACATTAATAATGATTTTTGAAGTAATCGGTTATCATCTGCCGTTATTCTGAGCGCCTCAATATATACATATTTAAAAATAGCATTCCCAACATAATTTACGCTTTTTTCAACCAGACTTGTTTAATACCTGGTTATTTTATCTTCTCAAGCAACAGGTGACGGGTGTGAAGGGAGCCCCCCGGTGGACCGGACCAACCAGGGCTTACCGAACTTCTTCTTACGATGATCAACTGTAGAACCTGTTTCACTCGCAAAATACTATCAATACATGCACAACAATTTATACACTTACAATCACAGTTCCACAGCAAAATCCTGACCTAGAACTATCAAGCCACTGTGTAAAGTTCCGATCCGACCACCGCGGCCACCACACAGATCACTCACATCCGCGCCAGAGTATATATCCGCGCTATGGATCAGTTCAGAGCAGACCAGATCCGACCACCGGCAACCAAAAAACGCACTGCAGCGAGATGCTGCCAGCGACCAACGTGATAGGCCAATGGTTAAGAACGAATCACGTCTAACCGAAAGTACGAATTGTGGCGGGATAAATTTCACTTTTCTACGCTATTATATTCAGAATTAATAATTGCACGCAAAGAAAGACATGATGCAAGAGAATTTCCAATACAGAGAAAAAAGACAAAATTGTAGTCATAGTTATCGTCCCGAGTTCACAGACGCGCCTGATCGGTGACTGAAAGCGAGGAACGAGGGCGAGGGCATTCTGATAACGTAATGATATTGACGGGAACGATAGATCTATGGTAGAAATGTAATACATGTAAGTCCACCAATGGACGGATATAAACTTATTTCGGATATTTTTAATGAGGAAATTGCAATTAAGTTTTTGTGAAAACACAATATAGTGTACAAACAATAGAGATGTTCAAAATAACGTCACGTTTGGCACGAAAGTGTTAGGTGACATAAGTGATTCCTTCAGAATTAGTACGTTTATAGCTGTATTATGCGGTTGCTGAGGTTTGTGTTTCTTATCACGTTGATTTTTTACACTATTTGTTTTCTTTCTGTTTCTTTAGGTTCTAATTTGGGACATTATTATCATCCATCACCCAGGCCATGACAAAGTATTTCAAATCAAATCTTTGATTTCTTCAAGGACACTCAACGTTCGATTTAATTACAAAAAAATTCATCGTTTGCAATAATTTAACATCAATCTCACCTTTTCTTCGTTCCAGAATTTATCGAACGAATTGTTCAATCTGCTTGGCGACCGAATTGCCTTTTGTCCGAGCGAGAGAGTCGCCAGAGTGTATTGCGACAGGTTGTAACACGTTCGAGCCCGAATCGCAGCCAGCGTTGCCAAATGTGTTTCGAGCTCTTTCCCCATTACTACTACAACTTTCCAAAATAACTTCTCCCATGAAACTAAATCCCCCAACTTTTAAACGAAGAATATTCACCAAATTATGGACCGTCGACATCAACTGTTCCTGACGATTCCATTGGCTGTCCCCATACATTCAAATCAGCCAAACTTCGTCCTTTGAGCTTCGCGAAGCCTCGTACTATCTTTGTTTTCTCATGTTTTTCTTTCTCTATGCCTATGGCTTATTTTTCTCTTTTTTATACATAAAGATGAGTGAGAATAATGTCAATTTTTCTTTTTTATTCGCCATAATTTGGAGAATAATATTTCTATCACAACTCCGGATGATAATAATTTAAAAAACAAAAACTTAAAGATTTCCCCGTTCATTTATGTTCCCTATTCTTTTCTTACAAAGAAAAATGTTTACGCAGCTGCCAGGGGGTGGAACAGGGTGAAGGGTGTGAACGGCTGAAAGACGCGCAAGCGCGCCAGAGAAGAGGAGTCGAGCGCAAAAGGCACTACGCTCGACTCCTCTTCTCTGGCGCCTTTGCGCAAAGGCACTTCAGCAAAAGCTTTTCTTTTAAAGATTTTTATTTGTTTTTTTCATGATTATTATTTTTTGTACGTTTTTTTGCCTTTAATGATTCAGGGCGGGTCATACTTCCCGTAAGTGTCGTGCATGTTTTCCCTCGGGAGGTGACGGTGATTTTATCCCACTGAATCTACCAGTCGGCCCTGGATTTCCCCATAGAGATGTCCAGAATGACGTGACAACGGTTGACGGGAAAGTGAAAGGAGGCAATCACCGCTGTGCACGTACGGCATTCATAAAGAATTACCAAGTGTTTGGCTGAATTATGCGATTGTCGAAGTGCGTGTGTCTTATCACATTTGTCATTTACAATTTGCTTTATTTCGTTTTATTTAGGTTCTAGCTGCAAATTTCGTCGACAAATCCGATTTAAAAAAAGCACTACTTTATTAACACGATTCAAGTTACTATCTTTTCTTTTTGAAAACCGTTCGAAGTAATCATTGTCATGACCTTAGCAATGAAGATCAGATGCTGCTTTATAATAAAATTAAATGTATAAAATATTCTCTTCCACGTGCCCTTTCATCGGTTATGAAAAGTGCAAATGAATTTCGAGTCCCTGTGCTTTTAGCGTATCCCGTGACTCCCGTATATTTTTTATAAACTGTCATATTTTTAAATATTGATTTTAGAAATACAAAATACATATGGCAGAGCATCAAATAACAATCACTACATATGTTTTCATCCATATCTGACGGATTTTCTCCCTTGTACTACCCGGCAAGTACTTTATCAATTTATTACCTTTCTTAAGTATTTATTTATTCACTACGCCATATTTACGTATTTACGTATACGCCTTTGCCATCTTTACGTATTAGTATTTAAAAAATAATTCGTATGGGATACACATTTTGCCAATTAGCATTGTTGAACCGCTAGCAAGAAAATTAATATGAATAGAAAAATACAGTCATTAAATATATTTTTAAATTCATCAAAATTACTCGGTTTTTACATGCATTACTATTCATTCCCACTTCTTATTAACCAAAATGAAATTATCCATTTTGATTGACAGACATCTTTCTTTACACTGCTAGATGTGGTATCTATCGCAGGCGATTCCGCAGAGTTCGCACACTCAGGTTTCCTCTGGATCGTGGAAAGTCTTCAATTTACACACCATATGGTGAAAACCATACACTGCGGATCTCGTGACGCATCTAGTAGTTTGCCGACATCCAGTTTCTGTTACACATTGCTTCAGAAGTGTAAAACTCTGGCCATATTTCTTCTCTTTTCTTGTTTAGGTTTTGTAGGATTGAATCCGCTGCCTTAGTATTTGGCAGAAGGAATTGTAGTCTGAGATGCTCTTTCAAGAATGCTTCTTGGGAAAGTACATATGCCAGTCTGTTTATCGAAATAAATGCAGATATGCACGGGAGGCGCTTTGTTTGAATTAGACTTTGGTTTTTAGTAAGGCAGAAATTACAATATTTTAATATTACGTAACTATTCTTTATTCTATTCAATATCTTCAGTGATTACCATTTTTTATTTTCAGACAAACATGTCAATTATATGTTTTGGTTTTCACCTGATGATGCATGTAAGTAATATGTGAAACATCAAGTTAAACAATAAAGCCTTTTGTGTATTTAAAATAAAATAAAATAAATTCTGTTTAATTTGTTTTTGTGGTGTGAGGATTATTCTGAGCCCCTTGTGTGCTACACCTTAACTGTAATCCTTCCATCATCTCTTTACCTGACAGGCAATTGTACATGCACTATGTGCAATTGAGAAACTGGATATCTGCACTCAGAAGAATAGTACAAGGGATACTGTGGGTAAATATATATTGGTAGAGGGGGGAGATAGACCTAAGTAATGTTTAGGGACAACAAGGGTGTTCTTCATTAAACAAGTTCACAGAGGTACTGTGAGAGGTTCTGGCAGGTCTTCTAGGCGCCAGTAAATGGCAGTTGGGAAATGGGAGGGGCATAACCGAAAAACTATCCCCAGCTTTAGAGATTAGACAACTCACAATACAAGAGAGTCTATGCCTTTGGAAGCATCACTAAAAGATTAAAATCCACATTTCACTTCTCTCCATTGTTTGTACATTATTAGTATAAGATATATTTTTGTGTGAAGAATCAACGTCTCAAAGACTAGTTCCAAAAGATGAACCAATGACTATTCTTGAATTGAATATTAATGCTACATCGATCTGTGGGCTTTTGACAAAGAAAACATACCATATGAGTACTTAGCATTAGTGGAGCTTGTACTCATCTGCCACTTCCATTACACTTTCCTTGTACGTCTTTGGAAAGGCTGGTAACAATGAGATGACTCATCTGGTTTTCACTGTCAACAGTATAATCTAAGAAAACAGACAATTTCCCAGAAAAAAAATATTGATTTGAAAGAAAATACTCTTTTAAAAAAGATCTTAATAACTTTCAAATGTGAAGCCATGTGAAACACAAATAACACTTTTCAGACATGCTCCAATTTCCTTAATAAATGTGTAACAGTTAATCAGCTAGTACAGATATATTTAAAAGTCTTATTGGCATGAAATTTAATTTCAGAATTTAAATTTTCTATCAATTATTTTAAATATTTTACTGTTTGAATATTAAATAATATTAATGGATTAAAAAATATGATTTTCTGAAATGAAAATTAAATATGATTTTTTAAAGTCTTACATTTTTGCTTTTATTTAACTTAAAAATGCCCTCACTATTCATCAGTGACCCAAAAACATATACTGTAGAGATCTATACTCTCTGCTCTAGGCTCTTATATACCAAGAAATTGCTAGTTCTAACAAAATTTATGAAATGCACAATTTTAATGAAAAGGACATATTATGAATTTAATACTTTTTTGGTAACAGTTCAAAATCTTGAAAAGCAAGATTACAAAAACACTTACATTGGAATAAGGCAGTGTTATCAATTGCTCTAGCTGGTTCTTATTTTTCCACGAGTAACAAAGACTAAGGAAGTATTAAAGTACCATTTCTTTATGTTACAAGAAACTAACATCGCATTAACAGAAAATAATCAATTTTAATTAGTACTGCAAACAGAAAATTGAAGAAGAAACTGATGAAAGTGATAGAAATAATGAATTTCTGTCAATGACAGAAGCCAGGAAGGGGAGAGTGAGAATGAAGCTTGAAGATGAGGAACACACACTAATAAAATACTTGCATATAACTATAAGGGAAAATAAAATAGTCAATCGTTACCATGGAGCGAGCATTGATAGAATGTGTAAGATTCGTGTCTGTTTCTCACTGGTTCCCCAAGTAGGCCATTCTAGACTGCTTGGTATTTGGGACTTTGGAAAGGTTGAGGAGCATGCTTGCCAAAGGGGAAACATTTGTTCCGACTGGATGGCATTCGTTTGCAAGTCATGTGTTAAAGTGTCCTTTACACTTACCAACATGGGGGTGTGCTCAATCCCCAATTGATTACGTTGGAAAGAAAGGGTTTCAAAGAAATCTAAATGGTACATACTGGTGTCATCAAAAATATAGTAATAACAGACCTATACATTCGTCTGATGTACTTCTGTTTAAGGTTTGAACATGATATTCTGGATATTTTCAAAGTTACACATATCTAAAATGAAATCAATTATACACAAGTTAATATACAAAGAAAACACACTTTTTTCATTAGAAATGCATTCAATTGTCAGAGAAATACTAAAACTTTGAAAATAAAGAAAAACTGGATGCTACTAAGTCTTCAGTTTTTATGCTCACAAGGTGATGACAAGTTAGATTTGGGGGCAGGATTTGTCTAAAGAAAGAAACAATCTCCCACTATTATTTATTTTCCAGTATTGTTATTACATCAAAATCATCGATGGTGTGGTGAATAAATTAAAGTACTACATAAAGTACAGATGTAAGACTTTACAAAATCTAACATTTCATTAGAATTGTTTGGAGACTCAGGTTTTTATAAAGAGTCTATTTACTTATTTATGATTCATGAATTAAAAAAATATTTTCAACTGTGAAAATGGTTGTAATTTTATTTTTTTGAGAGAGAATGTCACAAGCTACTTCTCAGACCATCTACACATATTAACATGATCCTTGGTCTTTTTTTATTCTCCCCATCTCAAATGTTTAATAAAATGACCCAGGAAGTTCCAGGTAGAATTTTCAGTATTCATTTGAAACCTCTATACAGAAACTAGCTTAAGTTCAAAACAGCTTTACTGAAATGTCACCATTTTGTGGCTTGTGACTATCTCCAACATAACGTCTCCATTCAAATGCACTCTTTACAACTGTGAATCCGAGTACTTTCAGAGCAAATGTTTATTAATATCTTCCAAGAATATTTTTTCTTCCTCTGTTAAGTCCCTATAGTGTTTGTGCAATAAAATAATTTCTTTTAATGGCTTCAAAAATTTTCTTGGTATTGGAAGCTGAAATAAAAGATACTCACATCGTAAGAAGTTCTTAAGTTAATCACTGAAGAATCTTTCATAAATTGAATACTTACTTTGACTAATTCATTTGATAGTTTTGTAGGCTTCTTCATCAAAATTTTCTTATCACAAGACTTCATCTTCATTATCTCCTTCTCAGGTTCTATTTTTTTTTTACTTTGATCTGACTCTTCCTTAGACATATCTCGTCTTGGACAGCTACAAATGCGAACATTTAGCAATTTTCTGCCAATAACTTCACCTCTGAGAAATACAAAAAAAATGGAGGTTACAAGAAATGTCAATGAGCCATTCACATATGCAACTTTAAATATAGCTCATTTTAGTATATAACAAAATGACAAATAAAATTATTAACTAACGTTTCTCTCTCCAATGTGAAAATAAGAGCTGTGCTGCGGCGGTTCATTCCTAGAATACAACTGTTCTTGCACATGAAAGAACACATTATAGTAAACCAATCAGAACCTGGTTGAGGAGGCTCTATAGGAACAATTACACTTAGTCTTTGACTGTCAGGATCTTTCTGATACTTTACGCCTTGGTGATGGCATCTGACGATGTGATCCACATAAAAGAAATCTACACAAAAGAAAATAATATTCATATTAATACAAATAATACACTCATCTTAATTTAATAAAAAACAAGTTCACAAATATGTAAGATTGAGAAAATAAAGAAGACAACCTTGGTTAGATTTCTCAAGGCTTGAAATGTGAGTTGGACACCGTTTCACAGGCTCAGCAAAATAATCTTGTGCCAAGAAAATTGGCAATATTCTGACAAGCAAGCCTGGTTCCACTGGCTTTACTTTAAACCATAATGGGATTTTAGCATCCATGACAACAAAAAGTTTATTCAACTTGGAGGAGTGCTGAAAATACAATAATTTTAATGAAACAAAACAAAAATCAAAAATAGTATTTCAAGGAACTCCATCCTATCCTGAATGTAGGCTACATTGATGGAGTGGAGTACAAAGAGGGAGTGGACCAACCAATACTTGTTAACTACAAATCAGTATAGTAATTTATAGATTTTATAACAGAAACACATATATGTAGAATCTAAAATTTTGAATTTTTTTTAGTGGGTCAGTCTAAATTGCTACATGGTATTTGACCTGTGGGCAAGATTTGGATCTACTGTATTGTTACGGCAAGGATAAAAGTGCACCAAATTTAACCCACTGGAAAAGCCCTGAAAATTTCAAGTTTACTTTCAGACTGGATTATTCTGAGAGTTCATTAATGATTTAAGTTTTGACATATGTGAGAAAGTGTCCAGTGAAACTTAATAAAACAGACTCACGAGATGAAATGTTTTGAATAAATGTATTCAATAAACAGTCTCTTTGAAAATTAAAGAAATAGCTTTGGTTTAGGAGACTTCTTTCTTTCTAACTATTTTTTTTTCTTTTTTGGTGAGGAACATTCATTGTAAGGGCTTATAAAGGAATGTTGGTCATAAGGGGTTAAATAGATTTTTAAGACTGTTCATTTCAATTTTTCACTACCCAAAATTTGACCATTTCCAAACAGGATGTTATAACTGCAGAAGATAAAATTAGACAGAAGTGTTATACCGTAGAACCCCGGTATTCCAAACTAATTGGGAGTGTGATCTGTTTGGATTCGGAAATGTTGGGATTATCCGAAAAAAATATGCTATACATCTATAGGATGTACAGAAATACATCTATAGGATTACCCGATACAATGCAACATCGTGTGTGATGCAATCACATCATCATCATCAAAAACATTCAGTTCCTTACGGAAGATTACAGATTTTGCAAGTTCCTCTGTCCAAATATTACTGCATGTGATATACACTGTATTTACCAGTGTAATAAAAGTTTCATTTTGACTCTTGTTTCAATAATTCAGTTCTACGGTAATTATAAAGTTCTTTCTTTACATTATATAAATGCATTTTATTTATTTTTTCCTCTGACTCAATTTTTTTTTCGATTATCTGAAATTTTGGATTTGCGGGGTTTAGGTTAGTGGGGTTCTACTGTGTGTGCCAATGAAGTTTGCAGAAGCTTCGAAAATTCAACTCACCTCCCATTTTGTCTTGTCACCTGCCGACTTATTCAACTGAACATCAAAGCTGTAAGGGCCAGGATAGTTTACCATGGATGGATGAGTACTTGTTGACACAGGTGAAATTACTGGCATCACTATGTTCTGTTGCGTGCTATCTGGTAAATTCTCAAACAACACTGTATTTGTAATTTCTTGGCTTGATCCCACACAAAAAGTTGCATCTTGATGGAGACAATGTCCTACCTGAGCAGTACAAAAAACAGATTTTGAATCACCTCCATCCATCACTAGACGTTTACTCCATCCATCACTAGACTAGATATTTGGGAAACCACAATCATAAATCATTTAAGTCAACCATTGCAAAGCATGTGGGAAGGAAGCCTACTAAGCATAAAAAAATTGACAAACTTCTTGAAAAATCCAAAGCGATCTGAAGCAAAAGAATGCTTTTGGTTTTGCTCAATCAAATTTGCAGGTGTGTCCAGTCACCTGCAAATATGACCATCAGGCCTGGGGCTGTACGTTCTCAGGGACAATTTATTTGAAACCAGTTTTTGCCAAACTCAATACATAAACAGAATTCATCCTTCCAGAAATTAAAGAAAATTGATGTTAAAATATTGCTATTTTTCATTTATTTCCCCAATTGGAGAAGAAAATTTACATGCGCTGTGGCGGAAAACTATATTTCATGCCTTTTACAAATGCATTTGGACAAGGGATGAAACGGTACAAAAAAAGTTTCTTTACATGATAAATACATTTAAAAAAAGTTCTGCTGATATGAACATACTTAAACATTGGTTTGTGTCACTGAAACTCTCTTTTTGCATTTTTTATTTTAATGGTTATGGAGCAGACAATATTCACATTTTACATTCACAATTTAATTAATATGAAAATATTAATGACCTTCTTAGGAAATTGAAAATGTGAAGAAAAAATTCTCATTAGTGATAATTTCTCATTAACAGAATGATACAAGCCATGGCTTGAACCAGTGCAGTACAGTAGTGTTATCTCCCCATAGCACGTCACACACAAATTTTAACTTTTTGGCGTAAATAAATAAATTTATAACAATAATAATGTATTATTATTATTATTATTATTATTATTATTATTATTATTATTGAATCTGCTTATTAAGCAAATAAAAAAGCCTTAATAAAATTATTAAAAATACCAATAAAACATAAATGAGTAGTAAATTAATAATTATTAGAATTAATTAATAAAAAATAATAAAATATAATATTTTTAAAATGACAAAAAACTGACCAAGTAAATGCTCAAAGTCACCACCATTTGCCAAGAGACAGGCGTTTACTCTTTTCAGTGTAGGGGCTGCAGTACTTTGAAGATTAACAAGGACAGAAAAAGTGCATTCTCTTTCTTCCAACTAAAATAACCACATTTTCTGACTTTGAAATCTGAGGACTCACGGCCGTGGATCGCTAAAGGTGAAAGGGAAACCATACGTATTTCATGCATTGCCAAATTGCCAAATCAAGAGGTAGTGTTTCCAGATATGGGTGGCGAGTTAAGCTAAAGACCCTGCAGCAGGAGTTGACTATACTATTCTCACAAAAAATTGTATGCACATACTCGTAGGATGTCGCAAACAGATCATATTATACAAAATTCATTCGAATTGGGGAATATTCCAACATCAGAAGAACACTAAAAACAGAAGCACAAGCGGATATGTTTGGAAAGAAAGTTGTAAAATGTGTACATTAATTTTTGAGATCAACATAAATATTTACTTTTGTGTTAATTCTAACCAATTAAGCTGTAAGTTAAAGAATTACTGAATTTCATACAAATAAATCAAATTCATTTAGAGCAAAAAATATCCACTCCAACATTAATAAGATAAAGCAAAAGCATTTAATAGTTTCAATGTTATTGAAGAAAATCCCATATCGTACACCTTCTAAGACTATGTAGAGGGGGAAGTCTGTTTCCTGTGGATTTCATGAGAGAAAAAGAAAATGAGAGGAAGAATGAATTCATGTACAACTATACAGATTTCATCATGAACTTTTAAAAAAAATTACCACTGTAAATTGAAAGAAACAAGGATGTAATGCACAATGGAAGGATGCCTGACACACGCAACAACTCTTAAGACTCATTATTGCATTACAACAGCTAGTTGATAGTTATCAAGATGCCTTCACCATGTTCAATGCAAATGAAAAAATGACTGCTAATGATGTGATGATCATTTTAATGAAGCTGAATTAAAAATTATAATTAATAACAATGGTGAATTTAATGATGGATATGATGCACCGTGGAGTTTGTACATTTTATTTCTTTCCTAGGAGGAAACTGCTTTGAAATTTTTTTTAAAGAAATTAATTTTATTCCAATGATAGCAATCGCAGAAATAAATTTAACAACAAATTTTAGAACATTACTAATTAAACAATCAACACAGACAAAGTTGAAAATAAATATTGTTTATCATAATAATTAGTTAAGTAAAATTTTGATTTCCTACTTCAGATTTGCAGATGCAGATAGCTTTAGAACTGCATTTACTGCAGATTTTCAAGATGGTGAAAGTAGGAATGTAAATGTGTGATCAAACTCATTCAGTCATGCATGTGTTGTACAAACAATCAAGAAATATTTCCAAAAGTTCCACTTTTGCAACTTAATAGATAGCAGGTATTGAAATGTGCTTAGGATTAGATAACGATAATCTACCTCAAGTGACTTTCACAGCGGAGATAACTGAAAGTTCAAAGAATTCTCTAAATCAGGTAAACAACAATAAAAAAAAAGTTTATTGCATTAAAATATAGTGCAAACATTCCTTTATTGTGTTTCCTTGACTTTTCCAGTGACTTGCCAACTTCTAGGGGTTGTCCATTAATTATGTAATGCCAAAGAGCATGGAGGGAGTTCGAGGCAGCATTAGACTGCGTTAGGGTAGGGGGATATTCGTTTAGGGTTACGTAACATTAATATTATTTACATTTTTCATTAATTGCTGAAATAATGCCTTTTTTGGAGTTTGATTAATGTAATATATTATAAAAATATCTTGAGTTCACTTGCTGAATGGAACTCTCTAATCCCAAGCACTTCAAATATAAATCTTGTCTTACCCCATAATGTTGTTCTGATTTCAAGAACATGTCCACATCACTAGTTCTAAAAAACAGAAAAAGCTTCAATGATTATTAATGAAAACTAATCTATGAGTTTTCAAAATATTTCCAATCTACTATAATGCTTACCCAAATTCATAAATACTTCTCTCCAATACACCTTCTGATACAATAGCTGCTTCCTCAGCTTGACTATTCATAATTCTGAAATCATAACAAGCAATTGAAATCAATGTAGAAAATGTCTATTCAATATAATTTAGGTTTACATCTCTCCATTGCAAAAAAAAGGCATCTCATAGTACAATATAGAATGTAGTCAAAGTACATTTAATATGAAAAATTCTGAATAAGATATACCATATTTTCTCAAATGTAAACCTCCCCCTTTTTTTTTTCTTCCTAAACGTAGCTACAAAATATGTGCAGAGGCTAATATTCTAGAATCTAAAAAGCGATATATTAAAATAATAATTTTAAAAAATTGTCTCTTTCAATGTTACAAATGGATAGATATTCCATCTCTGCTTCTGTCATACATGGAAATTTTCTCTAGAATGAGTACTGGTTTCTAGAAGTGAAGAACCTGTTTCTTTTGTGATGACAGAAGAGGGGTTCATTCACAAGAAAAATATCCAAAATTTTCATTCAAAAACTGAGAAGGGCTTGTAAACGAGGAGTCTTGTTTAGAAAATTCAGTATATCTTGTTCCCTAACAATACCACAGTATACTTGAATTCTCCTACATGTCAAAATTCTAGTCAAGTTACAATATTAAATGTGAGAAATGTAGTGATAGACAATAACTAAGAAGAACTAACAAGAACAGCATTTCTATAGCCAATACAAATTCCTAACTATACGCAAAATACATCTAAAAGATAATGCAAACATAAATACACCAGTTAAAATTCATGCCATTTTCTTAAAAATTTGGATAATTAACATACGTGAGCTAGTTTTTGTGTTTTACTTTCAACGCACCCCAATCATCAATTATAGTTATTTATGTATCAATGGAAGTAAGGACGGCTTCATTTATTAAAGAGAGAGATGTTAAGTCCTGAGCACAATGGTGTGAAGTGCATAATTCACCCAAGTGAAGAAAGCTCAGTTAAAACCCAAGCCATATGCAAGATTTAATTTTTAAACCTTTATGCACACAGGCATGCACAGTGAGAGTCAAGAGGGAAGACATCTACATTTCTGGCCACTTTATCCAATTTTCAATTTTTGAAATGTATTTTTGGAGGATTGTAATGTTCATTCCTATTTGGCCTCGGTTTCAGCATTTTTCATACATTTTTCGAAATTTTAGTTGTTTTCAGCTGATATTGAATTATTGGAAACATTTTTAGGAGTTTCCATGGGGTCCAGGTCTAAGTTGGTCACACTTCAACTGTTAATTTGAAATATCTTCTAAGTTTAGTCCTCAATTCGTCCATTGCACTGAACATTCACTTCATACAATTTCCCTTTTTTTTCTTTCATAGTTTTAAGGAAGTTTAAGAATTTTTCACTTATTTCAAGATGCTATAATAAACTTTTTATTGCAAAAAAGAAATCATCCAGTTTTACAATTATGAAATTCACTGCTTTCGAATTCAGTATTCAGCCAATTGAGGTAGTTGGGTATTAATGTTAATTTTGATAATTTACATTTTATTATTGTAGGTGAGTATATTCCTCCAGTTACAAGCTTAGATTCTATTCTTACACTTACATCTGAACATTTGTGTTTAAAAACTTCATGGGGTTCATATTTGTGCATTATTGGTGGTTTTAACTTCCTTAATTTTTGTCAGTTACAATCAATAGTTAATTTGACCCTAATGTTCAACTATTATTGAATTTAACTACTTCTATAATTCAACTCAATACAATACATTGAATAGTAACATCTTTTTCTACCAGACTCTTTTGGCTGAGGTGAATTTACTTTATAAAGATTTTAATGTATTCTACACAATAGTTAACTATTAGATATAATTTTGGTAAGACTAATTATGATGCAGTTAATCAACACCTGAGAAAGAATTCTATTAGTTCCTGACAAATGTATTTAAGTTACCACACAATTATGACAAATATATTTTTAGTTCCATGCTTATATTTAACAGATATTTTTTGTCAGTATCCCAGTGGTATAGATATTTTTTCTGATTCATTGTACACTGTAACAGATAATGTCAATGCCATAAATGATTAGCAATATAATGTATATTTTCCAGTAGTAGAGGAAATCTGTTGGATATATTTCTTAATCAGTGCTGTGTTAATGCAAAAAAAGGGCCCAAAAGGCAAGGCCTGGGCCCAAAAGGCAAGGACCCAGGTCCCACAATGATCAAGGGTCCCTCATAGTTCTTAAAAAAAATTATTTAATACTATATTTTTCAAAAAATGAAATAAACAATTGTATAAAAAATTATGTATGATTAAATTATAAACAAAAAAGTGGCATAACAGAGTGATAAGTTGCGCATAATTGGATAATATTTGTAATATGGAAAGTGATTGACATTCTTACATCATTCAACCAGTCATGAGAAGTTTAGTTGTTTTTTTTTTTTCTTCAAAACTTGTCTTTAAATTGGGGATGGGGGAGATTGGTGAAAGTAAGGATAAGAGGCCCCAGGGTGTTAAAACAGCCCTGCTCTGTATAAATAAAATAAGGGAGGCTCTCCAATGTCAAATAGATAGCGTGTAAATGGGCCAAGATAAAATAAAAAGCATTTATTAATCGCGTCATTTAAGTTACAGTTTTATTATCCGGATGTTTAATTCATAACTAGTAAATATTAATAAATCACGTGCAAATAAAAATGTTTAATGGACAAGGGGGCAACAGTTTTCTTGATATTCCACAGCGGGGAGTGCGGGGAGAGAAGTGCTCCGGTTACGTCACGATTTACAAGGACGTACCAACTGTTGGTATGAATTTAACTTCCAAAATGAAGGCGTGGCATGAGAAATATTAAGATTAATTTGAAATAACGAGGTGGATGATGGCAGCCTTGTAATACTGCCGTTCCGAGTCTGTCCTACGTTTCTCAACGGGCCGTGCTATTCGCCGCTGGGCAAGGTCGGCAAGGACAGGAGCGCTCATGTATCAAGAGAACTTGCGCGAAGGTTGCCCCTAGGTTGCCCCACTCCCTCGTGTTTGAGGCTGCGCCATAGATTAACAAATTCATCAATGGCTGCGCACTCCAATGCTTTGAAGGCAGAAGACCCTTATTACTGAAGAGCGGAAAAGTATGTAGTATGAAACGTCAAAATATCTACATACATACGTAATGAAGACAGTGCGAATGGGTAATAAATATGTAAAACTGGATATATGTAATATGTAAATGTTTTATAATTTGCGAATTTTAATAATACAATATTACATTAATAAAAAAATCCTTAACAAATAAAAAAACAATATAATCGCCTTAAAAATCATTTTAAGAGCACAAGTTGATGCACACTTTGCACTATACAACTTCTTCCGGCTGTAGAAGAAGCTTCATCTGTTGCTATCCAGGTCCGTAGTTATGCAGCCCGACTAGACGCAATGAATACAATATTAAAATGATTCACCGTACTGGCTATGTCTACGACCAGCAAATAATCACTGCAGCGCGATGAACTCTCATCAAATGTAAAACGTCGGCGATCGCCTATGTTTCACCGAAATAAATGCTCCCAGAGACAGTCGCGGAAAATCCGCAGCGGGTGCGGCGCGGAAGGTTCCGCACCAGACGCGGCGGCGGAATCCGCGAGACTGTTCACACCGGAGCGTCAGTTATGAGTCAGCGTTTGGAGACAGTTTTCCTCATCCTATAAAGAAGAAGCGCTCCCTTCTGCAGGGGATAGAAATGCCGAGTTACTCTTAGTACGTTCTCTGAGCACATGCGGAATGATACTTTTTCCTTCTTTATTTACAATTTTCCCTCAAATTGTTAATATCTCTTTAGAAACCTTAGAAAAAAGGTGCCCATGATATTGACCTACGTAGAAAAAAGTAAGGAGACTATCATACCTTTATGCCACACCGAGGAACACTAGAATGATCAGTGACATTTGATGAAATTTTGAATCTGATCGCAGAAGACATAAGAAAATCTGACACTTAACAATTGTGAAGTTATCTTTCCTGAAGAACAACTTGTTATTGCACTCACTCATTTAAACTTTTCATTAGTAAAATATACAAATTTTAGGAACAAAAAATTTGAAAAATAGTTTAATGTTATTTAAAATTAATTAAATTATTGAACAATATTAAAAGTATTTTTCTAATCGCTCTGCCGTATCTTATTCATTAGCGAGCTGAAAATATTCGAGATTTGACGAGTCTTCGCGTTTGTTTCCACAGCGTAACTCAAGCGGCAGCGAAAAAAGTGATTGACCGCCAAACAAAATCCGCCGCGGACGTGGATTAAACGCTGACAATCCGCAGCTGCGACGCAAGTCTGAACGTGCTCCTGAGCCACCACGATACGCGAAACTTCCGCTGCGGACATTCCGCGTGAGCTGAAAATGTTCCGCGCCGGTCTGTGGGAGCGGTTAAGGTTAAATGTCACGATCCACGGCGTCGAGGTTCCTTTTCACACCAAAAGGTGATTATGATTTCAGTCACTGACGTGCACTTCCCGCCTCTGAGATGACTAAAACCGGCGCCTCCAACTGCGAGAACATCACGCATCTTCATACAGGGTACCTGGAGTACGCAGCATGCAGTAATAATATAGGGGGGAAATGCTGATTAAAAAAAAATACTTATTTTCATAAAAATATGTAATGAAATTTAAGGAAATTCATTAAATTTTTTTTTCGTAAAAATATTAAAATATGTAATATAATATTGAATATGTAAAAAAATGTAACGAAACAAATGGATTAGGACAGTGACGATTCGTCGCGGTTACTAGTTTGAGATCAGCGAGTAGAAAGACAAAAAATATGAATTTACATAGGATTCTGCTGACCTAACAATTCTTTGAAAATTACCTATGAAAGGACTTAAAAATAAGAGGAAAATGACCTGTACAATGACACAATATGGGGAAAATGACCTAGTTTATTTTATAATACTAAAAAATGTAAGAACAATTTTATTTATGCAATGAATTTTACAATTTTAAATGAAGTTTATTTATATCAAATTGTATTGACATAGTCCTATTTTCAGGAGGAAATGTAACCCGTATCTACCACCGTGAGTTTTGAAAGGTCGGGGAAGTTACTGAAGATGTTGAGAGTTTGAAAAAGAGACTACTACACTTGTGAATTTCGTCATGAACTGATGATTCAATTAACACTTTTTTAGTGTCTTCGCAAATTCATAAAACATTCACCAACAAAATACAAAAAGAAAAAATTCGAAAAAAATGACGCAAATGTGTCATTTTAAAGACAAAACGTTCACTACACAAACTTGGCTAATTATTGATCATAGTAGATAATATGTCCCGAAATAATCAATATAGAAGCGTTTGAAGCTTTTTTGACTTTCCGCTGAAGCATAATTACCGGCGGGATAATAGTGTCTTTTAATCTCGGAAGTGAAATTTCAGCAAATGGGTCATTAAATTCTCAATTTATCTCATTTTAAAAATAGTTTTTATGGCATGATAATGTCTCCTTACCCCAAAAAATTCATAGTATTTGCCACACTCAATAGATTACAAGGGTTATTTCAACTGTCAAAACTACACCATATAACGAATATGTTAATTGTATAATTAATGGTAATTTACAATTCGCGAACTACAAATAAACATGGAAGGATACTTATACACCGTCACAAAACACCAGCAACACACACATACACACTAACTGTAACTTTCACACAAGAACCTACCTGGAACACTACTTTCCACTCGAAGACGTGAGGTTCCGAAGCTCGAACCAGAGATCTCCACCGTCCGTCCAGCCCCAAAGAGTATATCCAGCCCCAGCTACGACTGTCCACGCTGACGACTGACCTGCGACCTGCCTGCGACTGGCGCGCCGCGCCGCGCCGCGTCACGTCGGGCAAAGGCGGGGCGAGCGCCACAGTCGACAGGTTGAAACTTGCTCCGACTTGTTCGCAGTGCGCGCGTCGGACGCGGCTGAGCAGGAAATGGAAGAATCCGGGATGTTCGTAGCTGTTTGACACACTACAGCTAACACCAAGATAACTCATTCTTATTAGTTGAGTTTTGCCGCAGGCTTTTTTGGACAGACACGAGATTTCAAAATGTTAGAAATAAAAATACAGAATCTCATGAATATAAACTTAGAAGTTTTTGTTCTTCATCGACCAAAGCTCGTTGCGCAACGCATTGAGAACATTCTTTTTTTCCTATCTCCAGGCTGCAATAAATAAATCAGGGAGGGAAAAAATTAAGAAATAAAAAAATATTTAAAAAAACATCACCACCATCACCAGCAACATTTGTGACCAAATTCATGAATAGTAATATTGATAGACAATTATTTTCAGTTTTATATATATAACAAAGATAGCTGACATAATATTTTGAAATATTGCTATTATTTGTTCAATATTTTGTCTTAATTTGTTCGGTTCCTTGTAATATTTCAATGCAATCTGCTGCACCAGTGGCGTAACGTTCGGGCCTGCAAGGTCCGCAATGCGAGCGGGCCCGGGTAAAAGGGCCTATTTTTAGGGGATATTTTTATTATTTAAGATACTAACACTACTTGTTATTGCTGTACACTTTTATAAAGGCGACCTGATAAAAATTTTGCGGGAAGGCCCGCACTCATTTCTCTACGCAACTGTGCTGAATATTCCATCAATACGCCAAGATTAACACATTTCATAAAAATAATTTTAGGAAAGCCCCTCATAAAAGAAAAAAAACAAATTAGTTTTATGTGTTTACTATATGTACACATATTACAGTATATACAATATGTACACAAAGTTTCGGGGAGTTTTTTCTCCCATCGTCCGGCCATCTGCATTTAACATTTAAATTAAATAAGCACACAAATTATTAAATACAATAGTATTATAGTGCGCTAGAAACAAGAATAAACAAATAATAGAATATCATTGTGATATCCAAATTGATGGTATTAACGTGTTTAGGTAATGATTTTTAATCTAACACATATACACATAATACTTATGAAATAATTTTCAGCTCCTCAAACGACTGATATAATTAATATTTATTACATAAGTATTTAAAAAAACTCCAAGTTTAGGCACAAACGTAATCCTAATACAGTATGTAAAAGCGATGACAGAAAATGAAAACAATACAAAGCTCACAATTCAAATATTAAATAGTACTAAATTCATGATAATGTATTGCCCTTCACAACCCAACCGCCATGACAAGTGTGTTTTGAAAGTTAATGATGTAACATTCAACAAATATATTTAAATGTTGCAATACTCTACATATTTACCTAGTGGAGACGCTCCTTAAGGCCCGCTATCAACGCCTAACAGCATTCTGTGTTCTCGCATTATTGTGTACTACTTGGTAAGGAGAAACGATTGTAATGCTGCGGCCAAAATCGGCTATTTTTCGACAAAGTGCTCGTATTCTATGGCTAAGGAATCGAAAAGGTGAAAAGATATTGTTCCAGTAAATAGTAAATTACTTCCTCTCATTCACTGCGCAGTTAGATTCACGTTTTCTGGGCTCTTGATACAGAAAAATTGGCAAAAACGTCCGTTTGTGGTAAACGCTGGCGCACTATTCACACGATTGTCTCCCAAATTATTCCCGGATCGACCTGGACGAATTCGAGGCCCTTCGGGTTTGAAACAGATATATTAATTTTGGAGGTATTTTACATGAAGCCACAACAATTTCAAAATTTTCTCTAAAAAGGGCTCACATTTTTTGTTTATTTTTTCTCGGATTGAACAAAAATGCTTATAAAAACGCCTTGTCTCATTTTCGTTGAATTCACTCAATTTTCGAAAATTGCAAAAGTTCAATTTTTCTTCAGCATCTTCCACCTACTACAATATTGAAGATGGGTATTTTTTCTATAATAGTATCCGTTCTTCAAATTGGATCTCTAAATAAGGTCATTTACAATTTTAAAATATCTAAGTAGTTTTTGCGTAATTTAGCCTGGAACAAAGACAATTATTTTAAAAACAATCTTTCTCGAAAGCAGCTCCGAAATTTTTTCTCTATCTTTTTTTTTTTCATCTGTCAGACCAAAGACGCTTAAAGAAAAGGGGCCACGTACCATTAATGTATTTCAGCTTCTAAGTCTATGGCCCACTGTCTCGATCAGGGTTTTTATCCAAATATCCTTTGGGTAAATGTTGAGATGGCTCTTTGGATTGCTTCTGGTCTGGACACTTGTACATGTAGTTTCAATACGAGCACGTTTTATTAAGCTCTGCTATTGCAAGTTTTGGTAGGCGTAGAGCCGGGAATGTGGGTTGCTATTTTGTTAGCAATACTATAAAATAAAATCTGTAGTTCACTGATTTTATCGATTTTAACATCATTTTAATGGTACTTGCTTCAAACAATATTTACGAGGTGCAATAAATGTTTACCACAGAATTCCTGAGTAGGTGTTTTTTAATACATCCACAAATTCTTTGAAATTTATGTAATTTATGTTCTATATCTTCATCCCACTCGTAAGAAATATTACAACCTAAATAATTAAATGTTTTTACTTGTTCCGGAATGTGCATCCACAACTATCTTAGATCTGACAGGATATTTCACATGGAATGCCATAGTTTAAGTTTTTGGAACGGATATTTTCATGTTACTCGTATATTCATATCCGATTCTTTGGAGGGAGTGTACTGATTTCTGCAAATTGCTGCTACAGGAATGTCCAGTGAAATGCAATGAAGACCAACAAAAGTGCGATGTATTAATACTTACCATTAATGAATAATTTACTAGTTACCAAAGGGTGATGCAGTGAAGTGAATTGGATACGGAGTAGAGATGGGCACATTCTAAATTTTTCTTTATACTTTATTTTATTTTTGTTTGTTTATTTGTATTTGTTTCTTAATTTTTTCTATGTATTGCTTGTTATAATTTTTGGTTTTGTACTTTTCGATTAACTCCCGCCGAGCGCGCGCTCCTTTGCAGTAATAAAATATTTATTATTATTAAAGCATTATAGACGTACGTATTTGAGAAAGTAAAAATATTGGAACCGTTTTCGATAAAATGGCTTTTGAGCGTTTTTAAAAATGGTGAATTTGGAGTCCATTTTCAAGGAAAACTTCAGTGTTTGAGAAACATCGTACATCATTTAAAGCCCTTTTCCTTACAAATGCTATACTGTAAACAAATAACCAGTAATGGAAATATAAACGACGTGATAGAGATATTGAAAAAATACGATTGTAAAACATGTTTTTAAAAACAACAACAAATGAATACTACAGCACAATGACATTGGTCATTTGTTGTAGTGTATTTTGGACTATTCCTAGAAAAAGGTTAGAGAAAAATTGGAGCCAAATTCGAGAAAATCTTGTTTTTAATACTGCTCTTAATTCACTCAAAATTGCTCGCATTTCTTTTAATGTACATGGCGTTAACGAAAGTTAAAGAAGTGATTGTGAAGAACAAGTTTCAACTCTATCCTATGTACTAGTATGTTAATCCATATTTACATAGTACATATTCGAAGAAGTAAATAATTAAATACGGAACTGACGAATTCGGAAAGAAAAATTAGTAATAAGAATAAGGATAAAAGTCTATTACACTACTATCAAGTGTGTCGCAAAGTTCCGTGTACGTGTTCTCTAGGAAGTGACGCAAACGAAATATTGTGCAACACCAGCGCCTACTAACATTATTAAGCACAATTAAAGAAATGGATTATAGTGGGCGAATTCAGTTGTACTTGTAGCAGACTTGTTGACTGAAAAGAGGCTCAACAGAATTATTGATCGCCTCTAGGGGTGATTCTGACGTTGATCGCAATAGCAAGCGCTACAGCGGAACGCGGCTTGTAGAGACCTGCATGCGCGGCCTGGATGACACACACACACGAGCGGGCAGGCAGAGGGGCACCCGCCCCCCAGGCAGTTCGGAGAACGCTGCGGACGGGGACGGAAGGGATGGCTGAGGGGCAGAGGGGTGCGTGGAGTTTGGACCCAGTCGCATACGAGTACTGCATATGTGTGGAATATTGCCGTTGAAGACAGAAGGATCATATTTCACCCAAAGATCTGTTCAGGTAAAGTATTATTTTATGTTTACTTACAGATTATTTTGTATTTGGGATCTAAGGCGTGTCTAAAGCGTAGGGTGGGGCACGAGAGAACTATCAAAATGGCTCCAAATTTTTTCTTTGAATTTCTAGTAATAATATAGTCAAGTACACAAATAAGATGCCTTAGGTCCGATTTTCACTGTTGACTTTAAAATTTTGATAATTTTAAAGTTTGAATTTTTTCGGCGATTCCCTACCAACTACAAAATTGAAGATAGACAATTTTCCTTCAAATGAAATTTGTTCTCCATAATTATTCCTTCGTTAAGGTCATGTTCATGTTTTTTGAAAGTTTGAGTAGTTTTCGTGCATTACGTGCAATTTTTTAAAAAAAAAAATTTCTCAAAACGGCTCCAAATTTTGTCTTTAAACTTTTGATGAGGATAGTACTAAATGTGCTCTATAAGATTAAATGAACGCAATTTGCTCTATTCTTTTCTTTTTTCTTAAAATACAAAATAATAATAATAATAATAATAATAATAATAATAATAATAATAATAATAATAATTTTTTGACTGGCCTCACGTCGTTAATATTTACATTGGCTGCGATTTGTTCACATTATTGTATACACGTGTACATATGCTTTAAACGTTCTTACAAAGTTTCTCGAAAACTCGAAACTTTTTTACGAAAATGGGCTGAAAACTCTGCATTTTTAGAAACGCTGGAATATCTTCTTCAAAATCGGCTCCAAATATTTTCCTCAAACTTTTTATATGGATAGTGCGAATTGCACTATTTAAGATGATATAAATTTCATTTTGCTGTATTCTATTGTTGTTTTTTTAATTACACAAATGTAATTTTTTAAAGTATCTCTTACGCCTTTACATTAATTACATTTCCAGCTATTAGTATACATTATTGTATTGAAGTGTAGAAGTACATCAAATGACTTTTTCCAAAATTCAAAAGTTTTCTGTGAAAAAAGCT